CTCTTTCCAATGCTGAGATGCACACACACAACATAAACACAACATAAGTGCCACCCAGAGTGTGAGATGGGCAGCTATATAAATGTGACACATAAACAAACAAACAAACCAGTTCTCTTACAGGTATTGTTGTAATGGTGTGTAGCAATAACCTTGGGAGACATGATGAAAGCCGCAGTCTGGATAATGGTCTGATAAATGAAATCTGAACTCAAAGAAGGGGTGGGGATGGAGAAAATGTCTCAGAAGGGGCCCTCCTTAGTTTTCAGGAGAGTAAAAGTAAGGGAGAGGAGAGGTACTTTCAGACTTGAAAGATTCTGTTACTGTAAGCTTACAATAAAGGTTTGTTAGTACTCATGGTTGGCGCTTCTTGCCTGGACCACCTCAAAGCCTGACAATTATGAACCATAGCAACACTACCTTCCTACCTCCTTCTCTGATTTACAGTTACAGAGTATCTACCTAGGAGAAACTGGGTTCATATTGGCCCACCTGTCTCTCCCAGTCAGGTCTGTTATATAAGCCAAATTGGCTTTCTCATCAATAATCAAATAGAGATCAAATTATGATCTCTATTTTATTTTGGACCAGCCTGGTATTACAGAGGAGCAAGATCAGATTCTTTAAGGAGCTGGAACCACTATTCAAGGACTGAGAATTTACAAAACCTTTTGAAAGGGGAATAGCTCTTAAATTTTTAAACTTCCAGCCTCTAAAAGGACCTGCCAATGCCAAATTTTCTATTTCCTGCCATTAGTGTGATTGCTGCCCCAAATGTGTTTACATGTTATATATAGCACAATCCTATATATGCCTACTAGGGTTATGAAATGCTCTAGAGCGCTAGGGGTGCAAAAATAGTACCTGTAACTCCTTAACGCATATCTATCTTTTCCAGGGATTACATGGTAGCTATGCAAACCCAGAAAAAAGATGTTGCTGCTTTAACAGACTAAGAAAGGTATTATTATCATGTTTCCACATGCTTTATATCATCTTTTCTGGAACTGAATTCAAAGCACTGTACAGTCCAAATGTATATTAAAAAATGTCATATTGAGTTCAATGAAGTTTACTTCCAAGAGAAAAGGTACAGAAATACAGCCATTGTTGCATAAAATAATTTCAGCAGGTCCTAAATCTTATTCTACATCAGTATTTAATTCACTTGTGGCCTATTCCCATATAAGTTCATACAGGGGTGAGACATCAGGAGATTCAAAGCCTTAAAACATTTTTATGATATTTATTTGCTATATTACTTAGATAATGGATAGAATAGGACACCACTCCATACTTCTTTCTTATCAGTTATTCCTTTACCAATAGAAAAAAAATATATAAATAAGCCTCAGAAGTATTTGCTTTTATTACTATGACTTGAAGGTTTTCAGCCTAAACTGGATACTGGAATCCCACAGGATAAAATGATAAGTATAGGTGCGAAATGTCATGATTTGGAAGGTCCCTAAAATACACTAAAAAGTTTTCTATTTATTGTAGCAAAGGCTTTTTGCAATAGCATAATATTGGCCCTTGCATGTTATCTAATGCTGTGACATTTATATCTCTGAGTACTGCATTACCAGTCTCTCAATCATCAATGCCAAATATTAAGTATTACATAATTAGGAAGTATGTTCACCTAGACATCTACTGACTGAGTTTGTAATAAGAATTACCCTCAAAATCACATGCTTACTAAATAATTTGCCGCTTCAAAATTATATCCTTCAATTTTTAAGAAGTATTATTCATTTATAGTCTTCAAACAATGTGTTGAAAGCACTGAAATGTGATAGAACATAAACTAACAGGATTTGCTAAAAAAGGAAATATTTTTCTTTAGAAAGGACAACTAAGCCATATACAGTGGGGCAAAAAAGTATTTAGTCAGCCACCAATTGTGCAAGTTCTCCCACTTAAAAAGATGAGAGAGGCCTGTAATTTTCATCATAGGTATACCTCAACTATGAGAGACAAAATGGGGGAAAAAATCCAGAAAATCACTTACAGGTCTGTGAGAGCCAGACATCTTGCTTGTTTGTAGGTGACCAAATACTTATTTTCCACCATGATTTGCTGATTTTCTGGATTTTTTCCCCCATTTTGTCTCTCATAGTTGAGGTATACCTATGATGAAAATTACAGGCCTCTCTCATCTTTTTAAGTGGGAGAACTTGCACAATTGGTGGCTGACTAAATCCTTTTTTGCCCCACTGTATATCTTACAGGTCTGTGAGAGCCAGACATCTTGCTTGTTTGTAGGTGACCAAATACTTATTTTCCACCATGATTTGCTGATTTTCTGGATTTTTTCCCCCATTTTGTCTCTCATAGTTGAGGTATACCTATGATGAAAATTACAGGCCTCTCTCATCTTTTTAAGTGGGAGAACTTGCACAATTGGTGGCTGACTAAATCCTTTTTTGCCCCACTGTATATCTTACAGGTCTGTGAGAGCCAGACATCTTGCTTGTTTGTAGGTGACCAAATACTTATTTTCCACCATGATTTGCTGATTTTCTGGATTTTTTCCCCCATTTTGTCTCTCATAGTTGAGGTATACCTATGATGAAAATTACAGGCCTCTCTCATCTTTTTAAGTGGGAGAACTTGCACAATTGGTGGCTGACTAAATCCTTTTTTGCCCCACTGTATATCTTACAGGTCTGTGAGAGCCAGACATCTTGCTTGTTTGTAGGTGACCAAATACTTATTTTCCACCATGATTTGCTGATTTTCTGGATTTTTTCCCCCATTTTGTCTCTCATAGTTGAGGTATACCTATGATGAAAATTACAGGCCTCTCTCATCTTTTTAAGTGGGAGAACTTGCACAATTGGTGGCTGACTAAATCCTTTTTTGCCCCACTGTATATCTTTACTTTGCCTTGTCTAAAAATAAGGACTGAGACTGCTTTCAACTATATGTATTCATTTAGCAAAGGTTACATGGACAAGTATCCGAATCTGGTGGACCATCAGCTCATCATATTGTTTACACTGTAGAACAAAATTTGTAAGAGTCCTTACCTACTGAAATATGACTGAGTTAAAAAGAAAGGGGGAGGGCAGAGGAACTTCATAAACTTTTTTATCAGTTGCAAAAAGACTTCTTCCTTGGCCATTTTTCTTCTTCCTTCTCTTCTAGAGAATCTGCCAATAGAAGATGAGGAGACACTGCCCAGCACCTCATTTAAGTGGCGAAATACTTCTCTAGTTTCAAAAAATGTTGAGCATTGTCACCTTACCTCTTTTTTGGGGGGGGGGGGACAGAGCAAAGGCTAAGTAAAGAAAAAGGGAAAAAAGGGAAATCCAAAGGGAAAAAAAACAATATCCTTTCCAGAGGACAGCTAATCTTTTCCAAGGACAGACAGTCTTACTACCCTTATTCATTAAGATGAAGCATATTCAAAGAAAGGCTAACAATAGTAATAGTGTCATACATTTGGCAGGGCATTTGTTTAACTGCACGGCAATCATCTATCATCTAAATAGAATTATATTGATTACAAAGATTTCCACAACAGACATGTACTAGCCACTACTACAATAATCAATCATTCAAATTAATAGGGATTTTATGGAAAGGATAACAGCTTGTTTGACAAGTCATGAAAGGGATGTTCATCATTCCCTTCGCAAAAACAACTGTGGGAGGGATGGTGGAATCCTTGCTTACAGTAATTTCCTTTCACATCAGCCTCAAAGGCAATACTGAAAAATAATCTGTATATAGTTTTTCATACTTACAAGTTTTAATAAGCCTCTTTGGGTTTTGACAAGCTAAGAAAGAAGTTGTATGTGCCCTCCTTTGCATGGTTGCTGTGGAAACCATTTAGTCTCTGACAAGCATGAAATGTTAAGCAGTGGTTTTCAGCACAGAGATCTCAAAAATCTGGGCATTTTCTTCAATATTATTCATTAGAAGCTTTAAGATTGTTTAGACATTAGTACTTCTGTAGAATCCAAGAAATGTCCTGAGCAGACTTAGTTGATATATGTAACCACCCCAAAATTTGGAAAACCATTTATGAAATTAGGCACAGATACAGTAGAAAAGTTCTATACCAGCATGCCAGTCCCAAGTGCTCTGATCAGAAAAAAGGATGAACTGATCAATTAAATGAAATGTGGAAATTAACATTTCATTAGCACTAGTACCTGTCATACATGGAATCAGTTTTCCATAGAAGAATGTGTGCTGTACAATTGTAGCCATGAATGTACTAAAATTACATCTTTCCTAACTAAAATTGTGAAAAAAACTAAAAAGGTCAAAGGTCAAACATGGGACTACTAGTAAAATTACTATTCATGAGGTGAATTCAACCATCGTCAGAGGTATTGCATTATTCTTGCTTCTACAGATCCGATTTCTAGGAGATACTGATTAGATTTTATCATGTAAAATATTCTTTAAAACTGAAATATTACAGTTCATTCCTATTCTCTCTGGTATAGAACCATTAGAATTCAGCAAATTTCAGATTTAGGTTTTATTCAAATGTGCACTATCAACTTTATTACTTGTATTCCTCTTGTCAGTAAAACTGACTTAATAACTAAATAAGCATAATCAGCAATCAATAGAGAAACTGATTTTTCTGCAGAGTTCAATACAAAATGCAGTACTGTGAACTGAGTCCTGAAAATGAATTGGAAATCAGTGTAATTCTTCCATGAAGTTAAATGTTTAATCTGTGGCAAGATCTAGTTAACATCTCAGTCAGCATTTTCTGAACTAAACAATTAATTACAAGAAATATCAGTTGAACTGATAAGGGCAAGAGGAACAGAATGTTATTCAATAATCTATATCATGCTTTTTAATAATCTAATAGACCCAACAAGCCATAAAAGGATTCAATTTCATACTGTTGAGAACAGAAATTTATCTATGAATTTAGCTATATCTCATATGAACTACAGCACTACTAGCTTACCTTTGAATCTATTTCTCAGCACAAGTCCATTTTATAATTCTGTAACACATACCTTAAAGTTTTTCTGAGACTCAGGTGTTGGGCTGTCCAGATCTATTAGCTTCTTCAACTCTTCTTCAATATTTGACTTAGATGCTCGCTTTGGTGAGGCTCGAAGATCTCTGGCTGATGCACGCAACCTAGGATGTGCCATTTCATTACCATCACTCTGATGTCGCCTTAAAAGAAAAGAAAGGCATCTTTACAAAACAGAGAAGTAATGCTTCTAACATGTCTGTTTATTTAAAGAAAGTTTAAATAGATAGTGAATATTTGGATATTTGAAGTTATCTAGTATTAATAATTATTAATAATAATATTTAGTATTAATAAATAAATAAGGATAAATATTTACAAGAAGAAAACTATCAGTTATATTTGTCTTTCTGTGCCTCAATAATAAGCTAATAATAATAACAGCAACCCTAGCCGCATCACCATCAGAAGGCTTTCACAATACCTTCAACACATAAAGACACTGAAATGTATGATGCCTCCAAGACTTCATGTGGTTCTCAAGTCCCCTTTCTGTGGCTGTTGGAGTCCCTGTAGCCACGACTGTGGAAAACCATGGGCAGTTTCCTGCCATTTTAAGATGGGGAACATTTAAAAAGTCCTTAAAAAGGCATATATTATGACTGCAATTGGGACTGGGATTGCTGTCGCTAAGTGATGTAAAGCATGACGTCACGTGATGGCATCGCTTAGCGATGGCAATCCAGGCAGTGCAGATTGTCGCTGTAACCTAAGACATGCAGGTCGTTAAGTGGGAATTGGAGAGAGTCCCAGGCAAGGAGGGTGGGGGTGCTGCAGGGGAGTGGGGGAGACCCTGGGAGGCCCGGCACAGACCACACACGAGTTGGGGGAGGGGATGCTTGGCGCGGCGTGAGCTCAGAAAGGCTGGGGAATGAGGGTACTGGGTGCATGTGATCGCAGGGAGGCTGTGGAAAGAGTGTGCAGGGTGCGTGCAATTGCAGGGAGGCAGAGGAAAGTGTGTGGTATGTGCGTGCAATCGCAGGGAGGCCATGGAAAGAGGGCATGGGGTGTGTGTGAGTGAAGAGGGGGAAGGAGGGTGCAGTGTGTGCAAGCAAAGAAAGGCTGGGAAGGGAGACTTACCCCAGTTACTTGCAGCCTTCCTTGCCGGCTTTCCCTTGACTTTGCTTAGGGGAAGCCGACAGGGAAGGGCGCAAATGGCGATCACGTGACCACGGGATGCTTCAACTGGTTGTAAGTGCAAGCTGGTTGCCAGGTACCCGAATTTTGTTCACGTGATCGCGGGGGCATTGCAACAGCCAGAACTTCGAGGACCGGTTGTAAGTCCCTTTGTTCAGCACCATTGTAACTCTGAACAGTTGCTGAACGAATGGTCGTAACTCGAGGACTACTTGTATCACAGAAAAAAAGAAAGAGGTCTCCTCAAACTTCCCTCAAAACATACTCTTACCTATATATGGTCCCTTTTACCCTGCAGTCCTTGTCTTCCCACTGCTAGGGTGAAAGTGTATGGTACACACACATACAAAAGACCACTCTGTCAGAAATTTTCTTGCTACCCATTTCATATTGCTCATCTTAGGGTGTTCTTTTTTTGTTCTGTTCTTGCCCTAGAACTAAGTAATTATTCCAACCACATACTTCCTGGAAATCATGGTTTAGGCACTATCTGTACTGTTCTGGCAAACCTAGAACTAAGGATGTGCAAAATAGTTCTCTGCACATACTATTCCATGTATGCAAGAGCTGGTTTGGGATGGTCCATGCTCAAATCAAATTACATATGTTTTGGAAGTTTTGGTCTGTGCACAGAATGAAATGTGCAGATGTAACACATATGTGTCTGATCTAGACAAGTTATTTTTTGAGGGGGTGGGGGAGCCAAAAGCATCAGCAGCTGAGGGGAGGCAGGGAAGGGAAGATGCTAGAAACAGACTGCAGGAGACACGTAGGCCAGTGCAGGGGTTGGCAGTGGTGGTGTCTGAGGGGAGGAGGGAAAATGCCTGGAAAACTGGAGGGAGGGTTTTGCTGGAATGCAGCGCCCTTGCCACTACTGTGAGGAGGAAAGAACAGAGGAAGTGATGTTAACCAGCCTTATCCTATTTGCCTGCCTGGATTTTGTTTCGTCCAAAATCAGAAGCTGTCAAAGTAGATGGGTTTCAGTTCTGCCAAATGGTGGCTGATCTGAAATAGTTTGGCAGGACCTCCAGAACACAATTATTTCCCCCCCCCCAGGTTCAAAGACAAAGCATTTTCATGGTCACCCCTACCTAGATCCTAAATTATTCCTTTCATCTTACTATATTTTTGATACATGACCCACAATTAACTCTGTTTGACTAATATACATTTATATTATACATTTATATAAAGCTCTGTGACTCTTCAATAATAAACTTGGCTCTCAACATAATTGCATTATTGTGACATAAGACAAATTCTCTGTATAAAAACTAAAAGGGTAAGTGGGAAAATCCTAATATAACACATTAACTAATTTGAATATTTTTAAAGTTACTTGTCAGACATCAATGCTTTGATCTATTTTGCTAGTTTCACCCTTTGTATTTCAGCAAAGGATTATTAGCATTAACTGGGATAGTTCTACTTTATGTTAACAAAAGAGCTTTACATATCCACTCACTATTTCTGACAGGGACCAAGTCAAAGATTCTCTCCCTATAGTTTCAATTGTGTTGTGGTTTGGGGGAAAAAGCAGCGAAATTCCTCCCCACTTTTAATTTCTCTACAACCTAGTACACGTAAGATGATTTCTACATCTGTTCCAAGGTCTCTGAATAGAAAGAATGAATGGTGGCAACATACCTTTTCTTCCTGGCAATCCAAACCAGGATTTGTAGATCCCAACGAATAATGTCTTAAAATACTTCTAATTTTACCTTGTTTAGAAAAAAAACTTACTCTTCTGTGGAAAAGTATTCCTCTCAAGATCATCTGAGATTTTACCTTTTGAAATATGATTTTAAAATTGGCAGGGGGTGGGTGGGGGAAGGGAATAATATACATTGACTGGGGTGTTTAGTATTTAAATTAAATTTAATTAAATTTAATTAAAAAATGTTTGCCATAAGGAAATGAGTAACTTAAGAGAAGGAACATTTCCTAAGTACACTGAATTAATTTAACAGTTTTAATTCAACAATTTGAGTTGCACTTCAATGAAAAGCAGACAATAAATCTCTTGGGAGGTATTCTTCTAAAAGCCCTTCAATTGGTTTAAATCGCCACTCTTTTTAAACCTCTTAAAAGTTTTCCATGAGCAAAATACAAAGAGGCCTTTTCATGTTAATATTAACACCCACTAAAATAGAACCAAAATGCTCTTACTTTCTTGAATCCATAAACCCCACAGAGTTTATTGTCCCTTCAGGTTTTTTCCATCCAATCAGGTACTTGCTAGTAGCACCCTGACGTGGGTAGAAAGTTCTAGGACCGGAAGAGGAGGAAGAGGAGAAAGAAGGTGCTAGCTGTGGGGAAGTGGCAGAATGAAGCTCTTCTTTAGGTGAACTTCTGGCACTGGTGAAAACAATGGAGCTGGCAGAGTGCCGGGAACCCATGGTACTGGGAAAGAAGCATAAGAAAGACAAAACTGACTTAATTGTACCAATTTACATTACATGGAATTAATTTCAAAATTGCCCTCTGTAACACAGAATACAATCGTTACATGCTTACTACAATATAATCTAAGGATTTCCTTCCATAACCATAAAGTAAAGGATCCACCCTATTAAAACAGAAGAATAAAAACTGACCTTAACTATCACAGACACATCTACTTCTAATCTATTCTTAGAGCAATCTTAATAAGAGAAGCACATTATTATCCTCTAACAATACTAGGTGGAAACTATTTATGTGCAAGACTGACAAAACATGCTATATCTTTCCATACACACACACACACACACACACACACACAAACACACAACTAAATTAATATAGAAACGATTCTCAGCAAAAGAATGATACAGGTAGTCCTTGTTTAGCAACTGCCTCATTTAGCAATGGTTCACAGTTATGACGGTGATGAACAAGTAACTTTGCAATCAGTCCTCACATTCATGTCCTTTACAGGTCTGTAAAGCAAAGGAAAACTGAAGTAAAATCACAAGCAGTTGCGGTTTCACTTAGTGGCTGCTTTGCTTAACAACATAGTTGCTGGTCCCAATTGTGGTCACTAAATGAGGACTACTTGTAATGTAGGGAGAATGTCAATTTCATATGAGAAGAAGTCCAAACCCTGCAACAGGACTTTCTACTTGCTTTTCTAGTTTGCAGCTGTTATGCACCTTGCAAAACTAACCAAACCAAACCCAAAGGAGGTTTTGAGGGAGAATGAAAGAATTACAGGAAGGGAGAAGAATTGCTCACTTTCACTTATGGAAGATATTTTATGAAAAGACAGATTTCATCCTCTGTTTTGATAAAAGCCAATATTTTAAGAGAAACACTAATTATGTTATTGGCAATGATATAACAGATGAGACATTTCTCTTTTGAATAGATAGCTTCTAACAGAGCAGTCAGGTCCAATTGTTGAATTATTGAAGCTTCCTCCAACATTTATGAAAGTTCTTTGTTTCTTCTAATAATATAATAGGACTCTAACAAAGCAGGGATCAGTGTAAACTAACACTAAGAGATTTTGTATGCCCATTTTATCATGTTGTTCAGCTCTACACATTGAATTTAACAGGCAAGAAACTCATAACATGCCAAGAAACTATAATAAGGTAAAGAAACTACATGATGTATTGTCGAAGGCTTTCACGGCCAGCATATGATGGCTGGTGTGGGTCTTCCGGGCTGTGTGGCCGTGTTCTTG